AACACACAAAAAAAATTGCCAGATACAAAGTCTGAAAAATTACCAGTATTGTAGCCACTACAATTCATATAAAAAGGATTTCACTTATGTTTTGTGTGTGTGCGTGGCGGGAGGTACTGAACCCAGGGCCTCAAATATACTAAGCAAGCACTCTACCACTAAGCTATATCTCCAACCCTATTTATACCTTTTTCAAGATACAACTATCTTAATATTTCTGAAAATTACATTAACTTTTAAAACCACTGAGCTATTAACAAACATCATACTTACAGTTTCTTAAATAGCTGCTCAAAGATATGGTGCACATGAGTATATTTATGCAATTTTAAAAAGCAAATAGCCTGACTTACAACTATGAAAGTATGGTACTCCCAAAGATGTGCCTTCCAGGCTCCCTTTCAAGAGAAGACTAGCTGGCCAGCGGTGAGGAATGTACCTACTCAAATGCCTCCAGCTGACTTCAGCTCTTCAAACAAAGTCATACTCTCAGTTGGTCCACAGTCACTGGCAGTTAAGAAAGACAAAGAAGTCAGGGGCACATTCTTCTTGGATGATCCTCAACAAATGATTAGCAAGGTGGCGGTACAAAGCCCTGACTAATTCTATCCAGAGCAGAACTCCTTTAAGAAGCAATCCTTCCTCCAAAGCTCTCCATAGGGCTGGCAGAGACTGTCACATCTGCATCAGAGTCTAAAACAGCTTGCCCACCCAATCTCCTTCCTCTCTCTTCCTTTCATAGGCATTTCTCTGTAAGAAACTTCTTGCACATTTAACTCCAACTTAAGAGAGTGGAACCCAGGAATCAGGAGGACCTAAGCTATCTTGACTACTGATCTCTAGTCACTGAAGGTAAATGAGACAGAGTATTGTTAGTTTTGGAATATCTTCTTAAAGATGGAGCATTATTTGTTGTCAGTGGATTATCAGACTATACTGAGTTTGTTCACTCTCTTGCGAATGTACAGCTTCACCAGCCATCCTGGAGACACATTTTCTCCTCCAGCCTGGCACTTCATGGGTCATCTGATTCTTTTCCAGTCATGAGCACCATCCTATATAACCTTGTCTGTTTCCTGGAGGAGCAAGGAATGGTCAAATGAGCAACAGAGAAAGCTATTCTTAAAATGTGTTATGAACTCAGCTTAGTTTAATGTGTCAAATGCTAGAGTATTACATGCAATTTTAGCACAGTTCATTTTTTGGAAGACTCTTGCTGAAGCTTAGCCTTCTTTAGTGATCTCCCAATCAATATGACCCTCACTTCATGTTCAAGAAATACTGAAGAAGAAAAGAAAAGGCAGCTGTCTGTTAGGTTATACAGGATTTATTTGGTATCTTCAAAAACCAATCTGAGAAAATTTTCCACTCACTGATTTTAGCTGAGCCACCGAGAAAACAAGAAAATCCTTCTGCAAAATTTTCAATAAGATGATATTATCTAAAGACCTCAAGCGTGAAACCTGGATTACAACAGCTGACCAAAAAAACAATATAAAGTCTACAAAAACTAAATAAAAACATAAAAAGTATAATGACATAAAATTCGTTTAAAAACTGCAAAGATATTTTTATAATTTGGCAATGGATTAATAATGACATATACAATGAAAAGTCTAAACTATATCAACTATTAAAAATACTCCATAGTATGCACAATTACTGTGTGCTAATTAAAAATTTTTAGAGTGAAAACATTCTGCTTTTAGTTCTCTTCATAACATTATAGTTTGTAGATTTCTTATGTCCATTTTATATCTTATGTCCAAGGATGACTTTTTCAATCCTTATTTTTTCACTATACAATTAAATTTTTAAAGCAAATCATGGATTAAAGTTCCAGAAGTCTGCAACTAGAAAATACACTAATTATATGTAAATTTTGATATAGTAATGACTTGAATACAAATAACTAAATGTGATTTGTGAAGTTATATCATCACTGTACTCAAAAGCCAAAAGGCAGGGTTTTTCATCTATTCTAGATACTTAATTTACTGTGGTAGATGGCACATCTGGTCACAAATTCTTCCCTTTCCTATACCCACACTGGCAATAGGACTTAGTTACTCCTGCTATCGTAACTAGAATTTATCTACCTAATCAGTGACTCTGTGTCAGCTGCTGACTACCTCTGGCAATGAAATGGCAGCAAACACAGTGCAAACAGACACTTGAAAAGTATCTTGCTTTGGGCTTGGTCTTCTGCAAGTATGAGAACTCCAATCACATACGATGAGTAAGTCCCTGAGAAACTACACAGAGGAGAAGCATCCTCCCAGCAGAGATCACTGTGAACCAGCCATCCCCACCCAACCACAAAGTGACCAAAGCTAGATAAGTGAACCTAGCCAAAACCAGGTGAGCTTGACTTGTAGGTAAAAAGACACAGTTGGGCCCAGCCTAAACTGTCATACTGCAGAATAATAAGCTAAACAGATGTGGCTGTGTGAGTTTTAAAAAACTAAGCTCAGGGTGAAATTTGGCTGAGTGGTAGATAACTGATATACTCATCCATAGTTTTTTACTGTTTATAGAATATTTTATCATTGAGCAAATGATGTACACATTACCATCACTGCAGGAAAAATGTAATCATCTCTATCAGCACTTGTTCAGTGATAGTTAGTCTGCAGGCTGGCCTTGTCTTCTTACTATGCAGCAGGGATGAGCCATAAGGACACTTCACACACACAACAGCAATGATCATGCACCCTTAACAATCCATACAAATTTTAAAGACTGAGTCCAGAAAGCATACTATATATTTATTCCTTACCTGTTGTACACAAAATTATTTTAGCATTCCTTAAGGACTATATATCAGTGATTATAAGAAGTGATTTGGATATTTTTAGTCTAGCAACTTACTAGGGTTAAATATGTTACAAAAAAAACCTTTAGCAATCCAAAATCCTACTTTTGCGGAAATGTTTAGTGTTCCACAGAAATGACTGTTTAAATAAATAAATGGAGTGTCTCAAAGGACATACCAAACCACATATTAACATACAAGCCTGGAGATTATCTGTTTGACATGCTGCGATTTCTTAGGCTTGCACGAAAACAGGGTAACAGTGCTGACAGGCTACTTATATATAATATCATATGAGAGATCACACGATATACATTATATGTGATAGGAGATAAATCTTTTCAAGAAAAAGTTGGGAAACAGGGATTAATAATTTTGTTGGCCTTTGTCCCTGGTACTTAGAAGGGAGCCTCTAACCCAGTGATGGGGAACCTTTTAGAGAGCAGGTGCCAAACTGCAACCCAAAACCCACTTATTTATTGCCAAGTGCCAACACTGCAATTAAACCTGAATACTAAGGTTTTAGTTCAGAAAAAAACACTCATATATTAATATCTTTTGTCTTAAAAGAAAAACACAATAGCATGTGTGCCCTAGGTTTGCCTAGGTTTAGCCCCTGGAATTTCCCGAGTGATCATATCTTCATTATTCACGGTGGCCCCTCAGACCACACCTGAGGTGATGCTAACAGATGACTCACACTGAGTTCCTAGATAATTTGAGAAGAGGAGCTGGCCAAGCTGGAAAGATGAACCATGGGATTATAGGGCTTTGTGCTACTGTCACAGGGTATCAGACTGGGCTCCCAACCTCTCAGGTTGGGGCATGAGAGATGAGGGATTTAAGAATGAGTTCAAATTATGTAGTCAGGGATTCATACAACCATGCCTACACAATGAGGCCCCAGTACAAACTCTGGACACCCTAGAGGCACCCAACTGATGTTCCAAGAGCCCTGAGGACAAGAAAGCTTTCATGTGAGACCCTCCCAGACCTCACGCTATGCATCTCTTTATCTGGACAGTCCCAGTACATGGGCTTTGTGGTACAAGTGTGACCATCAGCAGAGTGCTTTCCCAAGTTCAGTGCTCTGTTCCAGTGACTCACCAAGCCTGAGGGGCAGTGGGGACTTGTAGCTCGCTGGTCAGGAGTGTGAGGGACCAAGAAACCCAAGTTATGGCTACAGTCTAAGGTGTAGGGAGTCTAAAGTGGAGTACTGTGCCCTGTGCCTGTGGAATCTGACCTGACTCCACATGGAGTCAGAACTGCACAGCACATCACAAAAGCAACTAAATGCCAAAGACATTTTAAAGAAGCAGAGAGAAAAGAAAGCCATCAGACAGTAGAAGCACTAGTCAGAGGTATGAATAGCATAGCAGCTGTCACTTCTAGAGTCAAAAAAGAAAAGAAAAAGCAGCAAAGGCAACAGAGAAAACTCACTCAACAATAACTGCCTACTAAATGTAAGACACTGTGCTAGGTACTAATATTGTGGTAAACAAGGAAAACATGGCCCCCAGTCATGAAAGTTACATTCTAGAAGGGACGACAAATATTAAAAGTTTCGACACTACAGTACTTATGCTGTAGCTGAACAAGGGCTTGATAACAAATACATACTGTAGATTAGTAATAAGCTAAATATCATCCCTAAGACCTATTTACCTTCATCTCTGTTTGTAAATGTATTACATTTAATATTATACTCATTACCAAGGAAGTATAGAATAATGTACATTTTGAAAGGGTTCCACCAGTAACAAAAAAAAAAAACTCAGATTAAATCCTTATTTTTACTCACTATAGTACATCCCTAGTGGGTACCTGATGTTTAAACATTTACCATATTCATTTCCCAAACTGGAGTTCACCTTAATATACAACTGCCACCCAAATTTTGAAGTTATTTGCTTCTTCCAAACTAATAAGACTTTCTAACTCATAAAACAAATATAATACACAAATCTCCAGATATGACATGCTGGGAAAAAAATAAAAGATTTTAGATACAAAATTTCATCAAGTTACAGAGGTCAAATTTAAGTTCTACTAAATAATATATTTTTTTAAAAAGTTGACTGATCAGTTTTTAAATTTTTAGAAACGGGTTTTGAACTTGTTTTAAATATAAAATTCTCCAAAAACTCTCTTTCTAAACAGTAGTCAGACAGTTAGTGTCTCTTACCTGTAGTCATCCAGCTGTACTAGAAATCGCACAATATCATGGTGTGCTTTCAGCACGAGCAGTTCTGTGTAGGGGTTCTGGGATTGTTCTTCACCTATTGTCTGTAATGGAGATTTCTTGTAATGGGAGGAACACAGGCAAAAACAAAAGAGAGACAAGGATAACGTGATACACAACTGTATATGTAAGAATATAAGACTTCAAAAGCCACAAGACTTGTATGTTCTAATACCAGTATTAGTTCCCCTAATATCAACTGAGTAACTGCAATTCTATATAAAACATTTCTCTTACCATGAATTCATAAATTTTAGTATTTTCAAGTCACAATAAATTTACAAAAAAGAGTGAATTTATTTTATATATATTCAATCTCCATAAACCTGACCTTAAAAATGAATGGGCCAGGGGCTGGGGATTTAGCTCAGAGGCAAAAGCGCCTGCCTGGCAAGTGCAAGGTCGTGAGTTCGGTTCCCGGTACCGGAGAAAAACCAAAAAAAAAAAAAAAGAATGGGCCAATCCAACTCAATTACTTTAGAAGGAGTGTTTCTCAATTAAAACTTGTTGGAAATAAAATTGCCAATCAGAGCAGTAAAATATAGACTAAAATAGCCTATTACAGGCATTCAATACATGTGTGCTAAATGGAAAAAACAAACAGGAATCAAACCGTTCAGACTCATGACTTAGCTCCGGCTAACAATATTGCTAAAGATTGCCAACATTCACAGAGCACAGTACTATGTGGCAGGGCATACGTCAGACACCGTGCTAAGCAAGCAACGTGCCATACAACTTAATTCTGTAAGATAGGACCTACTAACCCATTTCTCGGTCAGACAGAACCATTTTCTAAAACCGGGTTTCTCAGACTTGACGCTACTGACATTTTGTGGCTACCTTGTGCATTTTAGCATGCTGAGCCGCACCCCTGGTGTTTCGGAGGCCAACAGAGAACACTCCCCTACTCACCCGATCCCTGCAAGCCACATCCCGTGAAAACGCCCTGGATTCAACAGCCCCTGAAGGGCAAAAGCAACCCAACACTGAGACCCACTGCTCAGATTAGAATACAAAGTTCTTCCATAAATTAGAGAAAATCATGGGGTCTGATACTGTATGGATTCAAAGAAATTACAATAATTGAAGTACTTTACATGAAAAAATGTATAAGCTAACACGTATCAACGTTTTCTTAAAACATATACCCCCTCGGCAGTAATGCTGTATTTACCCAGTCTCCCTTCTGACAAAGGTTCCGATAAGAAAAAACCGACATCTGAAAACAGTATTGCTCCCCCAAATGAAAGCCTGCCAGGAACGGTAGGACTAATCAAATTTTACGATTAACTAGGTTAATACCGAATTGTTATATGTATGTTCAAGGATCTACAATTCTTCCATTATCTGGAGGATTCCAGACTCATCTAAAATACTTTTTAAGAAACAGACAATAAATCTCAACTGCAAAGATATAAGGAAGTCAAAACCGAGAAGTTAAACTGCTTGTAACAATTCAACCTTTTACCTCAGTCAAAAGAGCTACTTCCTGAGAATCGGAATTCTATTCTTGTGTGGCATGGGAAATAAATTCAGACCTCAATATTTTTAAGGCGGTAAATTATTTATTCACATTTCATATGCAAATCTCCTTACACAATTCAACGGCCTATCCAATTATAAAGCCGTGAAGTGTGATTGTGAAATAAAAAATAAGTTAATTAGAAAATCATTTTCCTGACACAAATATTTTGGTTGCTGGGTAAGTAACCAAGGATCAGGTGATGCTGAGAAAAGGTACCAGTTCAAACAGACCAAGAGGAGGGCTGCAATGGGCGCCTTCTCCTCCAGGTAAACCGAGGCGGGATTAGCAGCCCAGACGGAGCTCCTGCGGGTGCCCGGGACGCCGGCGCAGACGTCAGCGCGGGCCCCTCCCGCAGGGGCGCCAGGCCCCGCCCACGGCCCCGCCCCTCCCTCCGCGCTGCCGCCCCCTCGCTCACCTCGGCCAGGCCCTGGGGCTCGCGGCCTCCCCCGATTAGCCAGCGTAGCATGCGGGCGGCGGCGTCCCGCACGGCCCAGGCACCGGCCGGCCGGACAATCACGCCGGCTGCAGCGCCGTGGAGACGCGAATGCTGGCCGCACCAGGTTTGCCCACGGGTCGTGGGCGTGTAGGGGTCCCGCGTCCAGCCAGGGAGGTTTGGTTGAGGGAGCACAGCGGAAGGCCGCGGAGCCGCCCGGCTCCCGAGGCGCGGTCCGAGTGCGCACGCGCGGGGCACCGCCCCTCAGCTCGGGAGCTGGGGAGCGCGAGCGGCCCCTGCTGCCTGTGTGCGGTGCAGACCCCCCGCCCCATCAGACTGGGAGCATCTGCTTAGTGCCCTCCCGGCTCGAAGGGCTCTGGATCCTTCACTGCCCAGGCGGACCAGGAACGCACCCTCCACCCCATCCTGTCTCCAAAAGCTGACTGGAGAAGGTGTGCTGCGGTGGACTGCATCTGTAGGAATCTGGTGGCAAGTCTGCACAGCAGAATAAACCTGGCAACGTTAACTATTACAGTGACAAGGCTTTACATAAATCTTCACAGTAGCCCCATAACTCCTATTTATAGTCAAAGAAACCCAAACTGAAATATTAGATGATTTGTCTAAAGATAGCTAGGAAGTAGCTGCTGTGAAAGTAGAAGCCCTTCACAGACTTTCTTTCTAAGCCAGGAGCTGAACCCTGGGCGCGTCCATGCTGGGCAACCATCCTACCACTGAGCTACACTTCCAGCCCCAAATACTTTGACTGTTAAATTTTCATAGCCAGTCAAAGGTCTGTGGGTCTCTACACTAGTTGCGTATCAGAAATTACCCAAGTGGCTTTTAAAGATTGCAGGTTGACTTACAAAAACAATCTCTGTGGTTGGAAGATAGGAATCAAGATTTGGGAAAAGTTTATTAGGTGATTCTGATGAGCAGCAAGCGCTGCGAATCACCGGTGCAGGGACTACTTATGCAACATTCATATATATATATTTTTATATATATGTGTTAGGTTCAAATAAGGAGCCTAGCAGTAAATCCCTGTAGGAAACCTGTGCAAATATTCCATCCAGTTCATTAGTTCAGCAAACATGTATTGGGCATAGATGTACTACAGAGGCAAAAATGAAGCATGGAAAGTCACTGTTCTCTGGATGAGGGAGAAGGTCCTAGGCACTGTAACAAAGGCACACATTCTACTCTAAGGTTTACTGTGGACAGCTGCCTGTATTGGTTAGCTTTTAATCACTGTGACCAAAATGTCTGACATATACTACTTTAAAGTGTTTAAGGAAATGGTTTAAGTTTCAGAGATTTCAGTCCATGGTAGGCTGGCTCTACGGTAGGAACATCATGGCAGAATGATGTGGCAGAGCCAAGTTGCTCACTTCATAATGGGTAGGAAACAGAAACCAGTGCATCGGTGCTAGTGAGAGAAAAACTCTCTAAAGGTACTCCCACAGTGACCCACTTCCTAATGGTATTTTCTGCTGTGAACAGTGTTTTACTTTCCTCTCATTGCTGAGACAAAATACCCAACACACGAAGTTAAAGGGGGAAAGGTTTCTTTAGCTCACTGTTTGTAAAGGTTTCAGTCCATAATCAGCTGGCTCAAAGGCAGGGCAGAGGGGCAACAATTTATGACCGTGGAAGACAGTAAAAGTGACTAGAGGGGAGGGAGGGAGAGAGGAAGAAGGAGGAGCTCTTTCTGTCCCTTACATTGTCTGCAGGCTAACCACTCTAGGGTGGGTGTAGCATTGACACCCTTAATCCCAGCACTGGACCTTGAATCAATCACTAGATTGAATCAAACTCTAGATTCATTCCTCTGAAAAAGCCTAAGACTGCACGAGGCTTTGTGGGGGGACATCTAGACACAAACCGTAACAAACAATAATGGGTTATTCCTTGTCAAGTCAACAGTTAAGCTTAATCATCACACCCCCCAAACTAACAGTCCTTGGAGAACAAGGTGTGTGATTCATCTTGTAGTCAGTTTGACTGTCTTTGCAAGTGAACACTCTAAGGAGCAGGAGAAGGTTGTGTTCTGTGCACTAGCCCCAAACTGCAGTCTGCATGAAATTGAGGACAAACCAAAAGAGAGGCCAATCCCTGCAAAGATAAGACTCTCCTATACTGACTCAGACCGCAGGAGCGCAGGGATTTCAGTTCTGAAGAGTACCTCCAAGTGAGGCAACAAGGTTGCCCAGATAAGATAGCCTAAATTTCAGCCTGATTTTCCATAGTCTGAAGGTTTGTCCAGTGTCACGAAACTCGGACCTAAGGATCATTCTGCCGGTCTTTTAAAACACTAGCTCAACAATGAACACTTCCTCCCTTGGTTCCACTTATCAGAAAGGAGAAAGAACTTTATGAAAGGTGATGTCAGAGAAGTTGGAGGGGTAGAAGCACCAGGAATTCATCTCTGTACCTAGAAAACAATTAAACTGGCAGAAACTGTCTGAAGAAACTCTTTTGGAACTCTGGAATCTTTGAAACTTGAAAGCTTCTTTGAGAAATCTTAGCTGGCACAGAGGCTGGTCATCACTGTTTTAACCCTCATGAGCTCAAGAAATTTTCAGAAACTTAAAACTGTACTGCCTTTTTCCCCCCTGCATTTCTCTCCCTTTAGGGAGGCCAGCCACTTAAAGATTAGGACACATAAAAACAACCATATACATGAGGGGATTTAGGAAGTTACCACACACATCCAGAGAAAGTCACAGAATCAGAACGACCTTAGACTCTCATCAGAGGCTAATCTGTGGCACAAGTACAAGCATCAAAAAAATACTTGCCATCTTGTAAGATTCAAATGTCCAGGTTTCATCAGAGAGAGAGTGTGCGAGAGAGAGAGACAGGGAGAGAGAAAATCACAAGACATACAAGGGCAGGGGAAAACTAGGTCTAGAGGTCCCATTCAACTCAGCTATCCCCTTGCTGGGTGTTTTCCCAGAAGATCTAAAAACATCATGTCACAGTGATATATGTGCACCTATGTTCATAGCAGCACAATTTATAATTGCTAAAATGTGGAAGCAACCCAAATGTCCATCCACCAAGGATTGGATAAGAAAATTGTGGTACTTTTATATAATGGAATATTACTCAGCTATAAAGAAAGATAAACTTGAGGCTTTTATAAGTAAATGGTCACAACTAGAGACCATACTCATAAGTGAAATAAATCAAACATACCTGTGCAAGCACCACATTGTTTCACTAGTGTAAAACCTGAAACAGTTAATTTAAACTGGGAGGTATGATAGACATTGTGAAATGATAGGAAGGCACTCAAAGGTAAAGGGCAACTGGGGTGTGGGAAATGGAGGGGAAAGAAGGAGAAATTTTGTATGTATGTATATGCAGGATAGTTAATATGACTGTTCTACTGTCTTGTATTTCTTTGCTGAAAGAAACTGTCAATGAGTCCTTGGTTGATCAGCATTGCATGTTTATATCTGTTTTCATGAGAAACCACTTTGAAGATATCAATATGTAATACAACAAGCATTGTTAATTCCCTACCACTTTGTTTGTAACTCAGTACTGTCTGTACTGTTCTTTTGCTATTTTGTAAAATGTTGTCTGTCTGTTAATGTTTTCCTCCTTTTATTTAAAAGAAAAAAAAATGGCAGGGGTGTTGGGGATGTGACTCAGTGGTAGAGTTCTTGACTTACGTGTACAAGGCCCTGGACCACAGCACCACAAAAAAAAAAAAAAAAAAAAAAGACATACAAAGAAGGAGACAAGTATGGCCCACTGAAGAGAACAAAAACCAAACTTAATCACAAGAAACCATCCCTGAAGAAGCTCCAAAATTAGAGTGACTAGACAAAGACTGTCTGTCTTAAAGATGTGCAAAGAACTATGAGAACACAGAACAAGATGAGAATATGAATAAAGAGGCCACAAATTTGAAAAAGAACCAAGGAAATTCTGGAGCAAAACATATGTATACTCACAAATAAAAATTCAGGAAAAGATTTGAGCAGACACAAAAAAATCAGTGAAAATGGGTAGTTGAAGACAATAATTAAAATGATTAAGTCTCAGGAACTAAAAAAAAAGAATGAATGAGTTAATAAAGCCTAAGGGCCCTCTGGAAGACCATTTAGTAAATCAACATATAAATTTTGAGAGCCTCTGAAGGAAAGGAGAGAAAGGGAAAAAAAATAAAATTTGAAGAAATAAATAATGGTCAAAAACTCCCAAATTGGATGATAGACATAAATCTATAAACCCAAAAATCTCAATGAACTCCAAGTAAAATTAAAGACATTCACATTGAGATACAACAATCTTTTGAAAAATGATGACAATAATTGAAGCTAAGAGCAACAAGAGAAAAGTAACTCATCATATTCAGAAACCTTGGGGGCCAAGCCAGGTGTGGCCATTGTCCAACTATATCCTGTCTCCAAGTGACTTGCTTCAGATCCAAAAATACTCTTCAAATCCAAAGGTACAAGTAAATCAAAAGTAAACCGATAGAAAGAGACATTCCATACAAGTAGTAACCAAAACAAAGCTGGAGTAGCAATATGAATATCAGTCAAAATGTTTCAAATCAAAAAAATTTACAAGATAAAAGGACACTATATATTTTTAAATGTTCAGTAAAGGAAAAAGATACAGTATATATTTATATACTTAATAATAGACCCTCAAAATATATGAAGTAAAATATCAGCTCTCTAACAGCTGAAGACTTCAATAGCCTACTTTCAATAATGGATAGAACAAGACAGAAGACAAATAAGGAAACAGAACATTTGAGTGGTACAATAAACTAATTAGACCTAACAAACATAGAGCACACTGTACCAAACAAGAGAATACACATTCTTCTCAAGCACAGATCTCTTAGATAGACTATGTACTGGGCTACAAAACAATTCTCAATAGATTTAAATATAAATGTATCATTCAAAGTATCTTCTCTAACCATAACAGGATGAAGACAGGAAACAGTAACAGAAGTAAAACTGGAAAATTAAATATGTTGAAATTTAATGAAACAATTAATGTATCAAAGGAAAAAAGCAGAAGAAAAATTATAAAATACATAAAGATGAAATGAAATCATAACACAACAAGACCCTAACCCTAACGCAGTAAAAGCAGTTCTCAAAGGGAGTTTTATAATATAAATGTCTACATTAAAGAAGAAGGTATAAAACCAATAGTTTATACCCCAAGGAACTATAAAGAGAAGAGCAAACTAAACCCAAAGC